GTAAAAAAACACCCTGGATATGTTTAGAACTACAAATGAACCTTCTTTCAGTGATCTATATTAGACAAAGACAATTTTACATTTACATCCCGCCCTCAGCCAGCGGCGGTTCCACGCATGCGCGATTCACTTGCAGTCTGGACGTGGAGGGGTTAATGTCTCCTGCTCTGACTGCAGCTGGGAGGGAGGACTGGGCTGTCTGTCAGTGCTTTGGGGCGAGAGAGCAGCCCACGGCAGCACCCACTGCTCGTTGAGAAGAACAAGAATGATAGGTGCTCTCACAACAGAGTCTCCAGAAGTCTTCATTAACATCAGAAAAAGTCGCTAGATTTGTCGCTAGTCGCTTTTTTGAAAAAGAGTCGCTAGAGGGGTCTGAAAAGTCGCTAAATATAGCGACAAAGTCGCTAAGTTGGCAACACTGCATATAAGCTAGGGCTGGGCGATATGGACAAAAATGAATATATCGGTATTTACTGGCTGACTGGTGATATGAAATGGGCAACATGTTTTCAGTTACAAGTCAAAGCCACATTTGAGATATCACAAGAAGTTTTATAAAAACAAAAGAAATACAAAAAAAAATGCAAAGGATAGGAATAGGGATTCTCTTGAAAATATTGGTTTGAAAATATGCAGCTGCACAACAGTTACTCCTCCGTAACACTATTAGACGGCAGGTTTTCTGTGAAGTGCTGTAAAGTTTAGTTGATTCAAAACACACCCAAAACACACATTAAACATGGCTTAATGACAACAATTTCGAACACAACTACACAAATCAGCTTCACTATAACTCGCAGCATTCACAGACAAAACATTTGTTTTTTGCTGGACACATTTACCCCACAAATACAACATGCTAATGTTTTTAGTACAAGCCTATGGCATTTTGCATTGTATTAATTAGCCTAGTGGCTAGCGTACTCTTCCTCGACTCATATGAAATCAGGGACAACAGCAACATTTAACAACGGTAACGTTACAAAATTCAGCTCCATTACAACTCACAAGGTTCACCAACTAAACAACTGTCTTATACTAAACATGTTTTCCAAACAAATACAGCATGCTAATGTTATTAGCAAAAGCCTATGGCATTTTACATTGTATAAATTAGCCTAGTGACTAGCGAAGATTTCCTCTACTCCTATGAAGCCAGGATAAATCAACACAAGACTATTTTTGTGGGGGCTTTACTATCCTCACAATTTATTGTTACAGTACTTATCTGTGAAATTAAAGTAAATAAAAGCTTTGTTTCCACTGAGGGAAATGGTTTCAGCTTACAAAAAACAGACAGGAGGTCTGTGTTGCTGCAACGTGTTTTGACATTTCTGAGGAGGTGCACATTAGGCTATGGCTCTAAGAAGTGTTTCTGGAGAACTTGTGAGAGAATGAGTGGGGTGGAGCTGTGCAGAGAGTGTGAGAGAGGAGAGATGCATACTGGGGTGCGTCATGTAATGCAACTTGACCCTGTATCGATTAAAACGGTGTTGTCGAAATTTATATATTGCTTGAAAATATATAAATATATCGTACATAGTCATTATGTCGCCCACCCCTAATATAGGCATATTGGCAAAAAATCCAGTATCATGCATCCCTACGTATTACTCACAAATGACAGGGAGCTTTTCAATTCCTAAGTTTGTTCTTTGGAGTGTTTCAAGTATAATTCTGACAGATTTGATAAACACCCAGGAACCATATTTATCAAACCTTATCAAACCTCCGAGTTTCTGTGCTATGTTTTTCCTCTATAATTTGACTAAATAAGGTGTTTGAAGTATTAATATTCTGCTTAATCAGAACTGTGTAGGTGTGAACTTGGTTCAAGTGCTGCTAAATCCTGATTGGTGCACAAAAGTTTTCCAGCCGAGACCCGCCCACTTCAAACCAATGAATAGAGCATAGGGAATACAGAAAATATAGTAAAACTCTTAAATAATAACCAAAGCTCTTTAAACTTTGGCACAACCCTGTCAGTCATAGAAAGAAAAATATAGCTTTTCAGGGTAAAAAAAAATCTAGAGGTGTCTTAAATTTAAGATAATTTTTTAATTAAATGAAATGTGAAGAGTACATTTGTGTTCCTGAATTTTCATGTAGTAAAAGGAGTTGGCACTGGTATGAGGCTGGTGTAGCTCAGGTGTTAAGATAGTGATCACCCTCTACATCTGTCAACAGTAGGACTATCAGTTTGGATTATTCACTGAGCTCTTTGAACATGTGAATGTGTTTGTATGTAATTAAATCTGAATCCACTATTGAGCCTGTTAATTGAATCTGAATCTCCTCATGTGAAAACAAATTTACATAATTCGTTAACAAATAAAATTTCAAAAGCCTGGCACTTTGTTGACCTTTTACCTGATTTGCATCGGTAAGTGCTTGCTCACCACACTCGTACACCTCCCCTCAGCTCACAGGACTGTGTCACGGTTGCACTTCTCTGAACTGTGTGCCCACAGTTGCCTGTGTTGGTTCCCTGTGTTGGCGCCAACCCACTCGGAAGTGGAAGCACATTGTACACTGTGATCAGGGGGAAGGAGGAAATCCATAAAATGATTTAATTACCTTGGTACCAATGAACAGAAACAAGCAGCTTTACTTGTCATGAATAGCTATAGAAAGAAATGAATATATATTGCACTTGTTAGTTTTAGAGCCAAGTTACAGGGGAGATTAACGTGTCTGACCCAGTGACTCACAAGTGCCAGTGCAGGTGGGTTTAACAAGTCAGCTATCACAATGTTTAGCTTATGACTTCATGTATTCCCACAGCGTGAATCAGAGCGGATCTGACAGTGAGTTACAGTTGAATCAATATTTCCATCACTGTAAAACCTGATAAGACAGGCCGGCGTGTTTTTTTCATTCAGAGATTAAATGTGTCATTTAATCGTCATGTTTCTTCAATATTTGCTTCCCCTGGGTTGACATCTCCTGCTACAGCTGCAGTTCTCTACCAGTTAAATCTACCACTGAAGTACAGACATCAACATAGAAGAAAGGCTTTTTAATAGACAAGGCCAGCTGGGAAATATTATTGGTGTGATTTTACTGACACCAGATGTGATCATGATGCAAAACATTTAATGAAATCACAGGATTTATGTCAAGATCAAACCAGTTTTTGAAGGAGAGATTCACAGTTTTTGTCCCAGTTGACACACGAGACTCCTTAGGGACAGTACCAATGACAGCTATCATCTGGTTTCAGCATTTCAGTTGCTCATGTCCATTGTCTGCACAGTATCGTATTAACCTCTAGATGGCATTTTAAAACTGTAGTTGTAGTTCTTCAAACTGCCACTATATCTACACAGTGGTGCACAAGACAGATAATATTCTAAAGACATGTTCCTCCTCTTCCTTGTTGTGTTATTAATGGCATTTGCAGGAATCCACCACACTTGAAACGGAACAACAACCAGAATTCTGTTACTGCGTCGCCTATTTCTCTCCTCAGGTGTTTTCAGAAACATATTTTAGTGTACTGTTTAGCTGTACTGTGGCGGCATGCTGGTGCAGTGGTTAGCATTGTCGCCTCACAGCAAGAGTGTTACTCGTTCGGACCTGGGGTGGGGGAACCCTTCTGTGTGGAGTTTGCATGTTCTCCCCGTGTCAGCGTGGGTTTTCTACTCCGGCTTCCTCCCACAGTCCAAAGACATGCAGGCTACTGTGATAGTCTGGTGACCTGTCCAGGGTGTATCCCGCCTCTTGTGCAATGTCAGCTGGGATAGGCTCCAGCCCCCAGTGACCCCTAGCAGGATAAGCAGTTACGGAAATGAATGTTTAGCTTTACTGAGAAAGTTTGTGACCTGGCTTCCATGTTGAAAATAGTCAAGCCAAAACAGAGCACCACCCACCGGACTTTCTCATTTTATAGAATCCTCAGCTCTGGTTGCTTTTTTTCCAACAGCAACAGTGGATTCTAGTAAATGCTATTAGAAGCACTAAGAGGAGGAGGGACATCTAAAGAAAAAACATATATTATTCCAAACTGATGTAAATGATAAATGGACCTGCACTTGTATAGTGCTTTTTTAGTCTAGTCCAACCACTCAAAGTGCTTTTTACACTACGCGTCACATTCACCCATTCACTCAAACATTCACACACTGGCCGCCAAGGCCACCTGCTACTCAGTTTTCACACATGCACACACCGATAGAACAGCCACCAGGAGCAAATTAGGGTTCAGTATCTTGCTCAAGGGTACTTCGACATGTGGACTAGAGCCGGAGATTGAACCGCTGTTAAACAACAAATATTATCTGCACTTGCACAACTTTCCCTGGATGCCCAGCAGCCGATATTTGACATAAAGATATAAAAGGGCATAATCATAGAATGCTTAAGTATTACCTGCATGTTTAATCCAAAAATCTTAATAGTATGGCGATCTCCACCCTGTTGTTTATATAAAGTTACATAAATTAGATTTCAAAATGCCCTTTTTTCATATGTCTGCTTAAATGTCATCTTTCCCAGTGTTTGTTCTATGTGACATTTCATTTCATAATATCACGTTGCATTGTTTCGTCTTTGAATGTTGAGTCACTTTTGTTTTGAGGATGATCAAAGAGCCTGTTTCCAGTCCACAAGCACATTAAAATAATAAAAATCAAGTATGAATTTATGATAATGCACAGCAGTCCCAATAAATATTGACAATTGAACAAGTGTACATCAAGAAAACCACGTGCTTTACATAATGATGATCATAAAGGATGAAACATAAAGATTTTAGAATTGGCATCATAACTGGCAAATCTTCTCATGTATACAACTCAAAATTGTAGCATTTTCTTTGAATGTTAAATGAAAGAGTCTGGGCATAATGCTGCTGTAATTATAAAGCCGAAAAGCTTAATAGGTGTATTTATCCCAGTCACTCTCTCTGTCTCTCCCTCTCTGTTGGTCTCTGTCTCTGTTCCGTTGCCATGGCACCTCAGCGCCTCACCTCTTCAATCTGTTTTTGTGTTCCCATTAAGGCGCCTTCACCTGAACCCAAAGCAGAGCAGACAACATCAGCAGCAGCAGAACCTGAATCGCAAGATGAAGTCTTCGGTAAGACGTCAAACCACATCTTGAATTTCAATTTACATGCATATTGACAATACTCTAAACTCCCAGAGTTGGTCGGGCTTTACTGTTGGAAACCAACTGACGTACAAAATTGACATACACGTTAAAGTATGATTGTGTACGAGTAAAGAATGATTGCCTCCCTCAGAAACAAACACCATCAATAGATTCTCTACTACTGCAAATTTAGGCTTAAAGAGGAGCATTGGTGCACAGTGAATTTAAATATGCAATCACACAAATGTGAAACAGCAAATCTGACTGTAAGATTATGATGACTTATTGTTTAAAAACCTACTTCTTGAACTGGAGGTATCATCATCAGCTGTGGAAGCCTTTTTGTCCGTAAGTGTATCGCTGAACGAAATATAGATTTTGTGGATTCGCCAAGGCCTTTAAGCACTGTGGAAAGCACTGAAATGTGTTACCAAGGAATCAGTGAGACCTGGAACGACAGCCTTATATCCACATTGACACGGTAGCTCCTTTAACTCAGCCATCTAGAATCAATATCCTTTTTTTCTGCAACAATGAAAAGCCTCTGCTTCGCAACACCAGCTCAGAAGCTGCTAATTCTACGGTATGACATTTGTTTGGAGTTAGCAGTCTGGCTGATGAAAAGTTAGCAGTTACCATGGTGATTGAAAGCCAACCGTTCCTTGTAATGACAAAATCTCAGAGGTCAAGGTTCAGGCACACCAAAGTTTCTTTCCTCACAGTTGAGCTCGTAGAGAAGTTTGCCCTCTGTCACATCCGTCGGGACATGTTCATCGTGTAATCACAGGGGTTAAAAAGAGCCTTTGTAATACGGCAGCTCAGCAGAGGAGGGCAGAGTTTGTCGGCACACAGTTGATTGATTTTAATGCAGGGTACTTTTACAAATGAAGATGAAGGGGATTTTCTTGAGGCGAATGGGAAAATTGCAATTGCTTGTGCAAATTTGCTGAATTATTTTTTAATGAGGCAACAGCTCTGATTTAATTCTAATCAAATACAAATTAGATTGTTTTTTTGTCTGAGATACATAACTCTAACTCATGCATGCTGCATGCATAATAGATCAAGCTGCAACAGAAAACTGACTCAAGACTTAAAACTACAAATGTACAAGTTCTTTCCCATGAAATCAAGATCTCCACTGTCTCTTTTGGCACCTTGAATGAAACCATCAGTGACTCTGAGGCTTCCCGTTGGCTCTTGTCAAGTTTGATGATAGGAGCTAAGCGAAGATGAGACCTCCCACGGTGAAGGAGTGTTGGTTGTTCATTCTGCAAGAGAACAAAACCCTCAAGACGTTGACGACACTTGTACAGGAAGAGCACCGAACGTTCAAGACATAGGGAGTGCAAGACAAGCGCGGCCTGTTTTCTCCCCTCTGTGTCAGTCTCGATTGTTTTCAGGGTGAGCTGAGGTGAAATGCAAGTGAGGGCAAGGATTTGGCCATGTGTCGCCTACTGAACTGTAACTGCCTCTTTGAGTGTGTGTATATTAAAGGGTTGGGTATCCAGTGTTATTTTCCATTGCATAGTATCTTTCAACAGCCACTTTAAGAGTTAAAACATCCTAAACAAAGAGTCAGTTTTTCCAGACCTTTCATCTTCACGGGGCCTCTGAACCATCACAGGCAGATGAGATGCAATTAAAAGCAAGGAGATCATAATAAATATTATGGAGACTCATAGTCTACTTCACCAGTGTTATTACAAGCTAAAGGAGGTGAAAGAATCATTCATCAGCTGTCAGTTTTATCAACAATAATGTTAACTGTCACTAGCTGATTAATGCTAATTTTGTGATACAGCCAAACTACAAAATGCAGCTGATGGCTGTGTGACTGATACACTCTGGTGATATCTGCAGTATTTGACCTTGCAAGAGATTTTTGAGTAGAAAGATTTTGAGGTTTGAAAGATAGAGAGTGGACTGGGTGAGATTTCCCTCAGATATACAGTATTATAAAATTACAAAGAACAACTCTATACGAATAAAATGAGAATATATTATTTTGCCATACAATAACATTCATGACCATTTCTAAAAAAAAAAAAAAAAACAACCAACATACAACACAACTTGTGAATTCTGAGATTTTTTTTTTTTTTAGAAAATTTCCACTTAGAAGGTTGTAAATACCACAAAAGAGGGGCCTGTAAATTGACCTTTCTCATTACCATAGTAACCACAGCTCTGTTTGAAGGCATCAAAAGTCACCTGCTCAAATGTGGCAACAACCTTCATAGTTGTCAAGTAAATGGCCAACACTGGCAGACACTGGTAAGTGGACCATTCTAGTTCAACGTTTAAGTATATCGTAATTACGGATGCAGGAAAAAAATCGATACAGCACAGTATCACGATATTTTGCACGTCAATATTGTGTCAATATGTAGATGCCAAGTATTGATATTTTATGACAGTATTAATATTGTTGAGTTTGAGTTTTCTTTTGGAGACACAGTGCGCAGTTAAACCGCAATATATCACAACATATGTTATCACAATACTCTGCATATCACAGTGTTTAAAAACACAGTAACGTTGTATCGTAACTTAGGTATCATGATAATATTCTATCGTGGGGCATCAGGTGATTCCCACCCCTAATGTTAATATTGTTTTAAGCATATTACCTGAAGTGCTTGCTTATGTTAGAGGAATCTATCTAATGTTACTTCTGCCAGTCGGGTAAGCTAATGTTAGCTCCAGCAGCTACAGTACGGTGAAGAGCTGTTTACAGTATAAATAGCAGAAATAATAGCTAAATTGTTGTTTCTTCATAGCTTTAGCAACAAGCCACTGCAACATTTTTATGCTTCTGCGCTGGCGATTGCTATTACCGCTGGCATTATGTTTACAAATTGTTAGTCCGTCCGTCCCGTTCTCGTAAACATGATCACTCAAGAACACTATGACGAAGAACACTGTGACAAAGAACGCTGTGATGAAATTTCTTCAAATTTGGCTCAAACATCCACTTGGACTCAACGATGAGCTGAATGGAATTTGGTGGTCAAAGGTCAAGGTTTTTGGCCATAACTCAGGAATTCATATGCTAATGATGACAACATTTCACACAGAGGTCTAATACAGTAAGATAAAATAATTAAGTGATGACATTTTATATCCAAAAGGTCAGAGGTCAGCTTCACTGTGACATCATAATGTTCTGCTTAAAACACTTTTCTGACCATTTCTCAGTGTCATATCTCAGGAGCAGAAGGGGAGATACTTGTATCTTTGGTCAGATACAAAATCAGTTACGCTAATCTTGAGCGTCCACCTTGAAACTGTGCTGATTGTATAGATCTTCTGTGCTGCTGGGGGGAAGTCGTGTGTGACGCATCCATGATTTCACAGACAGGGATGTAAACTGTAACTGCAACATGACAGGTTCACAGGTGCATACAACTGCAAGGCACTAGTTCTAGTTTCTTGATTACTGTCATGTAGAAACAAGATGAGTTTTTGGTTATGCCATAATTGCAAACCCAGCTTGTTCAATACTACTGTAAACCCCCAGTACAGTACTAGTACACTGCTATGACTACTTTTAAAGTTATAAAAAGTTGATTGATAAATTCAGATCTGTGACACGTGCTCTCCTTGGCACTTAAGGGCTGTTTGACACTGTTACTGTTTGGCAGATGCTGTGTGAATTATTGCCGTGCTCGGCCTGTCTGTGACATTTCTCAGTGGTCATCTATCAGTAAAGGCCAGTAACACTGGGCTGGGTGTAGTAATCCTGATGTGGGTGTTTAATAAATGTTGAGCCTGTTCTGTTCAGCTTTGGCTGCTGCAGTTGCACCTGTGAGTTGCATACAAATTTCTTCTCTGTTATCTGAGGACACTCGGAACGCACAGGCTGATGGTCCCCATCATATAATAATGCATCAGATACAATATGATAAAAATACCATGAAGTCACTGTGGAGTGGCTACAGAATGTATGTTACCACTACATGATATGATAAATTAAGGTGTATTACATTACAAGGTGTAACTACAACAGAGCAAAATCACAAGTTACTATATGAATATATTTAAAATAGTCTTCAAAATGACATGCTAGAATGTGACACTTAAAGTAGTGCAAGATTTTAAAGTCACTGTAAGCTATTTATCTTACACGCATGTGTACCGCAACTGCACACTTGTGTTGTGTACAAGTCCAGACAGAAATATGATAGGAATTTAATAGAAATATTATACAGGGTTAAACATGATACATTTTGAACTAGTGGTCCATTTTTTATGAATAATAGACTTATTTTTGTCAATTTCTATGCTGTTTATGAACAATATTACTGATTACATTGACTGCAATGAGGGTCTGCTCCAGTTAAACAACCAAAATACAGTATACTGATTAATAGATATAGAGGAATCTGATCTAATTGTGTGTTTGCATCCGGGCAGGTCCTCTTTTATACAGTCAATGTATTGATCATTATTATTATGCAACAAATACGAAACCATTTAGATGAAGCCAGATGGTGGATGCAGCAGCCAACTGATTTTCAAAGAAAGGTCAATATTGACCTAATATTATGCGAAACCAATTTCTCAGCCCGGCCGCACTGCTGGTACGTGCAGGCATGATTGAATTAGTGTTTGACTGTATTGATGTCATGTGCAGTGGAAAACTCACCAGATAGCCACCGCTGTGATGTGCTGTTCTCACTGATGCTTTGCTGTCGACAGGAAGGTTATACCTTGCAGAGGCTTCATCAGATTGATCTGTTAGCTACTCGATCCGCTCCCTCTCCTGCAGCCAATTAATGTTCCCCGTGTTTAACACTTGCCATTGATCAGCACGGAGCAGACTTAGAGGATCCAGCACTGACACAAGTGATACTTCAAAGAAGCCACCCACACGACACACAATTAACATTTAGCTTTGGAGAATGACATGTTTACCGGGCACAGACAAGAAATTATCTGATATGTCCATTAGATGGCTACTGTAAGAGCGACCGGGCGTG